CCCACAAACACACTTTGATATATTATATTCGCGAGAGTATCGCCCGGCTTTACGCGTCCAAATGAATTGTTTGTATTCTGGCAGATCATTTGAGCCCAACAACAACAAGTTAAACCCAGAGCAAACCCAATACAATTCAATAATTACATATATGATCAATCAGATTCATCCTGGACAGCTCTAATGGACAATTCCATTAGAAAAGTTTGCAACAATTCTGGAAGTACTCTGCCCTATCGCCTGGTATCGCATTGTAAACAAAATATTTGTTTTTGCCAAAAGTTTTCAGCAATTCGTGAAGCTTTTACAATGTAAGATTCAATGGCCATTGTAAAACGTGTCGCTTTTATGGCTCTTACGAATTTCTGCTCTGCGTAGATCATTGAGCAGTTACTCAATCCGTCAGGCCGTCAGTCAGGACAAACAGCTTTATAGGCTTGTAAAGATTATTTAATATGTACAGAGCTATTTCTGTCATGCCTGGATATAGTTCTTATGCTCGGCCCCCGCACGACACCGCCTAGTCATCTGGCTGCAACCACTTCACCCGCTCACCCACTCAGCCTCGTAGCCTCGTAGCCTCTCAGCCACTCAACCACTCAGCCACTTGTCCACTCCCCGCACCTGCCTTTGTCCGGGCCTATGACTTTTTCCACACATTTTTTTTTTGTTTTTTTGCCACTTTGCGCTAAATCTTTGTGAACAAGAGTCTGGGCCCGAGGAGATAAGCACGAGCCCCACTGATAAGCATCTGTAGAGAGATGCTTTCCGAATCGAGGCGACGATGTTCTGACTGACGCTCGGTCCGATCCCGAGATGGCGTCAACAGAACTACGAGAAGAACGAGAGCAAAAAGATAGATAGAACGAGAGAGAGAGTGAGAGAGAGAGAGAGAGAACTTAACAAAACAAAGAGACTTTGACAGCAAACAAACATGGAGGCGAGACGACGACGACGGAAGGGACGGAACAGTGAGAATGGGAGCGGGAGCGGGAGAGAGAGAGCGGGACACTCACTCAAGGGAGGCGGCCAGCGATTATAAAAGCGTTGCCCGGGCGCCAAACTGAACGCATTGTCCAATCGCTTTTGGAGCTGCGTGGAGCTCTCCATTTAGTGATACCGTTAATTCGCTGAGTACCGTTCACGTGCTACGTATCCAGAACCAGGTCCGGAAGGCAGAAACAGCCATCGATTTGCGAACTCGACGACGACAACAACAACAGCTAAACAAACTCTTCAAGCAGTAGGTGCGTACCCACAGATCCCAATTCCTACCCAGGATAAAGGATATAAGCAAAGAAACAAACAAATATAAAATATCTAAAAAAACAAAACTCATAAACAATATATAGTATAATCTGCATTCGACAACAATATTCGACTAATGCGACGCATCGTGTCATTAGGCAAGCCTCAATTTGTCAGCATTTCACCACAGTTCCAGAGATATAAGGCTACTCAGTTCTTTTTTTTTTTTTCAATTAAAAATATTTTTGTTATTCTACTTTGAGAGCCTCGAACTGGCACTTAAGTTAATTATGCGAAATAAATTGTCGACAAATGATTCAAAAAATAAAGTGAAAACTAAAACGAAACGAAATCGAAATCGAAAGCCGTTGAAACTTGTTGTAGAAAAACAACAAGAAAATAAACAAGATAAATAATTGTAGAGTGAATGCATAGCCCAAAGACAGTGATCGGTTATAGTTTATTAAGGAATCACTTCTCAAACAATTGTGTAGATCGTGTGGATCGAGATCCAGATCTAGATCAGAGCGATCAGTGTCAAAGGACTTGTTCAGCTCGTAATTTAGCATGATTAATATTCTATTCGCAATGATCGTGTGATTCACATCAGTAAAGTTGAAGATCGGATAGTGCTAAATTAGCTCATTAGCTTGTCTAACGAGCAACAAATGCTCTGGGCGCTCTGTGATCAGTGTTAATTTGATGCTCTAAATGCATTGGTTTGAATGATCATCGATGATCGCTGATCAACGATAATCTTACTACTAGATGTCTTGCCTTAAGAAACACACACACACACACAAAAGTGAATATTCAGTGTATGTAGCATATAACAATTGTGATCAGGATTTAAATCTCTGAGGAACTGGTATCCATAAGACCCAAGCACGATCACGTGATCAGAGCAAAGGATTACCAACAGTTTCTGCTGATCAAGAACTATGTGATATCATTCTCCCCAGAGAGTGACTCTCACTGTCTCTCTCTGTCTCTCTCTCTCTCTCTGCGGCAGTTCGCTGAGTCAGCATTGAGCCCACTAGACCCGATCAAGCCAAGTGAGCTTTAGCATTTCAGCAGTGGCTGCTCGTTAGTCATGTTTTTATTTACTTAGGACTAAGAATACCCATCGCCCCTAATCAATGAAAATATTCAAGTTGTTTACTTCATAATTTTCGATTCGGCCAATTTCAAAAATCAATTTCCAATTTTTATTACGATTGGGATTTCGTTTTGGTTTAATTTTCGTTGCTGCGTTTCATTTTCGCTTCGCGCATTGTTTTCAATTAAATCAACAATTAATTGAAATGTTTGCGCAGCAAAACAAAGCGAAAAAACAATTGACAGAAGAAGACAGAAGCTTTGGAGAAAAAGAAATAAAAGGGCGCATCGCCACGGGGCGTGGTCCAATCGAGAGGCGGCAAAGCCGACAAAAATAAGAATAACAACCAAACCACATAAACGAAAACCGATTCGAACAAGTTTTAGGCGAACATTTTGTTTATGAGCACGCATTTTAATTGTTGAAGAACAACAACAACAATAGCAAAAGATACAAATTGAGTCAAAGAGAGACACAACTACACAGATACAGATACAAATACAGATACAGATACAGATACAGATACAGATACAGATACAGATACAGATACAGATACAGATACAGATACAGATACAGATACAGATACAGATACAGATACAGATGCAGATACAGATACAGATACAGATACAGATACAGATACAGATACAGATACAGATACAGATACAGATACAGATACAGATACAGATACAGATACAGATACAGATACAGATACACAGTGTGCAGACGCCGCAGTTTTTGTTTACAATTTATTTTGTTTTGTTGGATTTTTTAAAACTTTTACTGCGTCCAGCTGCATTAAGCAACGCCCCAAATTTACATATTCTCATTTCCCATTTCTTTATATTTATATAAAAATGAGCAATAACAATGATAATGCCCAATGCGAGCAGTGCCACTCGCAGCAGAGACAACAACCGCAGCGAGTGCAGCAACCATTTTAAATTTTCGTAATTTCTTTCGTATTAGAGATGAGCATAGCAGACTGAATCATGAATCATGACACTTTCAAACATGAATCATTATCAGATATATCTATTAGGCAATTAAAATATTACGAAAAGAAAGAAAGCGAGTGGATAAGAAGTCGATGCATATCTAAAGATTCATTCGACGATTCAGTTGCTTAGGTTAGCGCTTGAATATTCAACATTGTAAACAATAAAAATATATTGAGCTCTGTCGATAGAGATTGGTTGATCAAGCAAATGAATCATAAATCACGGCATTTGGCACTCGCCTATTAGCATTTATATATAGTATATTTACGCTCTATAAACTCTTTAATCAATATTTTGATTTTAGTGCTATATGAATCATTGATCTTGTTCCCTTGACAACAAGCATCAATGTCAGACATATTTATCAGTATATAGCAGCAGATCTGAAAAGCATTTGAAACTCAATTCGAGATTTGCTTTGAAAGAGGGTGCAATCGATCTTTATCCAATGATTCAATTTTCGATTAAAATATACCAAATTGAGTTGTCAATCAGTTGCACAAAACAAAAGAGTATGTTGAACTCTGCTGACAGGAGGCTTGTCAATAGTACTTCAAGCAAATTCTAAGCATTTCAAATGCTAATTAACGCAATTACGAGCAAACAATGCTAGCGCAACAACAGTTAACAATAGCAAAGCTGAATATTGCACGTCTTTCCAGCTGCTATGGAGTGTACGGAGTCGATGGAGTCTGACTGCCTTAAAGCCAAACAAAAGTGGCTTATGTAAGGCCAAGTCGGCTGATTATATAGTATCTGAACTGTCGCCACTGTCAATGGGCCAGCCACAGCACGTTTTCACTTCCAGTGCCAGTGCAGCTGGTCCCACATAAATCTAATAAGTTAACAAAAAAAAAAAAACCACGCGTGACTATTAAACATTAAACATTTGTATATATCTCGTAGCACACATTGGCGTCACAGATTTGATAGAGTCAGAAGAGCAAAACATAATAAAAGAAAAGAAGGAAAACCGACTCGATGTGCTGAAATTATTTTCGTGATAACATTCAAAATATCGACGGCACAGCTGTTGCTCTCTGATTCATAAATAATGCTCAAAATAAATCGAAATCTTCTTACAAATTCATACATTTATATATTTAATGAATATTTAAGACCCAAGAATTATTTAATTATGCATTCAAGGAACTTTTGCTCGAGGGGGAGTTAACAACTTTGTTGATCAAGCCTTAAGCCGTTATTATCAGCTCAACGGAATCGCACTCTGGTCACACTGAGTCACATGTTGAGCGCACACGATCGATTAAAACTGCTATATTTAATAAT